ATGTGAAAATGATTTAATTTATTTGTTTAAAATTAGGAATACTTCCTAATAGAATGGATTCTGCATAATTGTTTCTATGCAAAATGGTTTCTGTTACTTTTCCTTTGAATATCACAAGGTGGTTGGAAAGAATCTATGTGACTATGTATTTTACTTCACCTGATGACAGGGAAGTTTTAGTAAATAGAGTCACAGAAGTTTCTAGTGCTGGAATGATAATGATCACTGACATTTACTTAGAGTTTTAAGGTTTGGAAAACACTTTACATATACAGGGTATCCCAAAAGTCTTAATGGAGTTTTAACTTAAATTTAGCTGTACTGAGACATTTGAGATCTTCTGTATTATCAACCTGGAGACTTAGAACAATACAGTGAGGTGGAAAGGAGAGATATTATTATCCCTATTTTACTGTTGAAGAAACTGAGGCACATGGAGTTCAGCTGACTTGTCCATTGTTAGGTAGGCTGGTAGGATTTGGACTCTGGTCTTTCTGATTCCAGGTTCAGGGATTCAGTCAAAATACTACACTGCCTCCTTGGTAGATAATTTAATATAACTTACTCATTTGACGATTCACTGTTGTTGTTTTTGAGTTGTGTCTGACTCTTTGTGACTCCACTTGGGGATTGTTTGGCAAAGATATTGGAATGGTTTGCTATTTCCTTCTTTCCAGATGAGGAAACTGAGGCAAACAGGGTAAAGTGACTTGCCCAGGGTCATACAGCTAGTAAGTGTCTGAGGCCAGATTTGAACTCACAGAGAAGGGTCTTACTGACTCCAGGCCTGGCATTCTCTCCTCTGCACCACCTTAGTGCCCTTGACAGTTCATTATGTGTATTTACTACGTATTTGGGTTTGTGATTAAGGAGCTTCCAGGTCTGTTTTAGGAGTAAAGACACGACAAAATAAGCATCTTTGCTACCTCAGTAGCTCCATCAGGCCTGGATATCACGGGGTTTGGAGGAGCCTTAGGGCCTCTATTTGTCTTCTGGGTGTGGAGCCACCAAGATTAGGGAAGGGCAGTGGTCTCAAACTCAAATAGAAACTGAAGACCCCAGAGAGTGCTTACAAAACCACAAATTAACATTATCTGTGTTGTATTGTATTTTGTTTTATTTTGTTAAACATTTCCCAATTATATTTTAATCTCTTTTGGGAAGATTTTAAGGGAGTTTAACCTTTCTGGAGAAGAATCTCTCTTAGGTGTTGTGTAGACAGAAAGATACCGGGTAGAGAATAGTGTAGTTGTCAGATTGTAGGACATGGGGTCAGGAAGATCTAAGTTTAAAACACTGACACTAACTCTGTGACCTTGTTATTGTTATTATTATTATTATAAACAACTTTATCTGGATGTCTGGCAACTATAGAATAAGTAATCATTAAAAAAATAAAATCTGCTATTATAAACATGAGATTATATATAGTTACTTGAAATTAAAGTTTGCAATGCAAAAATATAGTTTGATAGAAATCTGGCTGACAGAAAAATTTTCATTTCTATTAGTGTGGCAAACAGAAAGTTTTCCATCCTTTCTAGATAATATAGAATACAGGGCAGACATGTGTGAGGAGAAGGTGAGGGGCTTGAGATTGCTGCAAAAAATCTGAAATACATTGATACTGAGTTTAAAATTTTGGAAGAGTCACAATCAGTTGAATTCAACTATTTATTTTTCTTTTGGCTAGGCAAAGTGACTTGCCCAGGATCACACAGGGTCACACAGCTAGTAAGTGTACTCAAGTGTCTTGAGGCTGCATTTGAACTCAGGTCCTTCTGACTCCGGGGCTGGTGTTCTAACCACTACGCCACCTAGATGCTCCTCAACTGTCATTTATGAAGTATTAGCTATAGGCAGCTCTATGTGGGGATGTATATGTGGGGATGAGAGTAGCTGGGAGGAATATAAACATTTATGGTATGGTCTGTGCTCACGCAGAGCTTATAGTGATGTGAGCCAAATCTGATTTTCCTCCTGTAATAAGGTTCTTACTGATTCTTGCAAATGACATTCTATCTCTGGTCTCCAGGCCATTGCAGAGGCTGGCCCCCCTGCCAGGAATGCCTTCTCTCCTTCCCGCCAACTCTTAGAAGCCATAATTTCCTTCAAAACTCAATTCATATGCCACCTCAAATATAAGGCCTGATTTCCTCTAGCTAATAGTGCCTCCCCTCCCCCAAAAATTGTTCTGTGGATATTTCACAAATTATTTGATTTACTGAGGGTTTTTTTTTTGGGGGGGGGTCTTGAGGGGAAGCTTGCTTTCTCTCCTTAGATAATAAGAGCTTCCTGAGGTTAGTGAGGTGGAGCAGTGGACAGAGTACTGGACTTGAAGTCAGGAAGACCTGAGATCAAAATAGGCCACAGATACTTGCTGGCTATGTAACCCTGGGCAAGTCACTTAACCTCTGTTTTCCTCAATTTCCTCATATGTAAAGTGGGAAAAAATAATAGCACCTACCTTTTGGAGTTGTTGTGAGAGTCAAATGAGATATTAATTTTAAAGTGCTGAACACAGTGCCTAGCATGCAGTGAATACTGTATCAATGTTAGCTATTATTACTGTTATTATTAATATCTTTGCATTCTAGGTATCTAATGTAATGCTTATCACCTAGTAAATGCTTAATAAATTATTGTTGATTATTTACAGTTGGAGGGGGTCTCAGAGGTCACCTAGTCTAACTCCCTGATTCTACAACTGAGGAAATTGAGGCCCATAGTGGTGAAGTGATTTGTCCATGGTTTTATAGGTAGTAAGTAGCAAGAGCCAGCCAGGAGCTGAACACAGGTGCTCTCCCTCCAAATCTGAGAGTTTTAGCAGTTTTTTCCAAAGGCCTCTCTTAATCCTCTGGTATTCAAAGTATTCTTTTTTTTTTTTTTTTTTAGGCAATTGGGGTTAAGTGACTTGCCCAGGATCACACAGCTAGTAAGTGTCAAGTGTTTGGTCTGAGGTTGGATTTGAACTCAGGTCCTGACTTCAGGGCCGGTGCTCTATCCGCTGCGCCACCTACCTGCCTGTCTCCCTCCAAATCTGGCATTCTTTCCATAGTACTATGCTATGCTCTAATCAAACATCAATAAGTGTATAATGTATAATTTAAAGATTTTTGAACTTTTAGAAATCAATTTGATAGTTTAATCTAGTCACCACTCAAGCAATATCATAAGCAATCACGTGGCATTTTATTCAACATGACCCAATATCAGAATGTACCCTACCCAGGTCCTACTGATCTCTTAATTGTTTGCCTTCTTTACTTTTTACCTTTTGTTGTTCGGTCGGGTCTGACTCTTCGTGACCCCGTGGATCGTATCACGCCAGGCTCTTCTATCCTTCACTATCTCTAGAAGTCTCTACGGCTTCATGTTCCTTGTTTCCATGCCAGTAGCTTATTGGATATCTTCTGACCTGAGAGGCTCATCTTCTTTTTGTATCATTTTTTATCATTATAATCATTTTTTCATTTTAATTTTTTATCATTATAATCATTTCGTCATTTTAATTTTTTTATCATTTTAATGTCGTCCATGGGGTTTTCTTGGCAAATATACTCGAATGGTTTGCCATTTTCTTCTTTAGTGGGTCCCCTTTTGTCAGAACTCTCCACTACGACCTGTCTGTCTTGGGTGACCCTGCACAGCATAGCTCAGGGTTTCTTTGAGCTGTGTAAGCCCCATGGTCCCAACAAGACAGTGATCCAGCAGGTTTATTTGTTTATTTATTTTTAAGATTGAATACATACAGAACTTTAGTTGAGGGAATTCATATCAATGCAGATTAGCACCTTTTCTGCAAATTTTAATCTTAGAGAATAGCATGGTTAAGTGGTTGTGATCTAGTTAGAATCTGTTAGAAGCAGGACTTGGTGTACTTGGCTTGCATATAAGGTTGGTTCTCTATTCTTTACACTATGATACTTTTTTATTTTTACTACTTATGAGCAAAAGGTCAGGGAATTCCATCAGGGTTATCAGATTCAGGAGTATTTGGGGAGATTTTGACAGGCATCCTTGTGGAGTTGCTTTTGGAAGACTGAGGACCACCTCCTCGATTTTTGAGAGACTGATCTAGGGAAGATCATCTTGTTTCTGTGTTTTCTCACTAAAACCATCTATAGGTATTAGAGAGATATTTTTCTGTTTCTTTTGAGGCTGGGATATAGTTCCTCAAAACAGGCAGAAGGAATGTGCCGATTTGGACACTATGGCTTTACTGAACAGCATTAAATAATGGCATGGTCAATGGTATACTGGTAAATGTTTAACAACTGGCTCTTTGTCTAGAAAAAAAGTACTCACAATCTACTTTTAAGTTTAATTTGCCTTATTAACATTTTCTCCATCATTTTAAAAGTCTTAGTCAACAAAACAATAAGTCAGGCCTTGATTTATAGCATTTGCTGATTTCTAAGTTGTCAATACTGACACTGAAAATTTAACAATCAGCTTTTATAAACTGGTTTAAGTTGCCTCTAGCATGCCTTTAGACACGGCTAGAATTGATTGAATTAAACTAACTCAGAGCCTGCCTGAGTCTGGAAGGGATAGAAATCAGTCATAAAAGGTAGTAAATCGATTAATGTTTCCTCTCATTCCAGAACAACTAAGTTGCTTCTGGATTACTGTCTAGGCTATTCTAGGAGTCTAGTTTTCAAAATTAAAACGGTGTCATCTGGTCCACCTTGATCAGCAGGTAGGTGGTGCAGTGGATAGAGTCAGGGAGACAGAAATTCAAAACCAGCCCCAGACACTTAATAGGTTAGCTGTGTGGCCTTGGGCAAGTCACTTAACCCTGTTTGCCTTAGTTTCCTCATCTGTAAAATGAGCTGGAGAAAGAAATGACAAACCACTTCAATATCTTTGACAGGAAAACCCCAAATGGGGTGACGAAGAGTCAGGCATGACTGAAACGACTCAATAAACAACAGCAATCTTTGAGAAAAAAATTAAACATTTCCCCAAGTTCAAAATGAAGGAAGGAAAAGTAGTACCTGTCCACACTCAGAGCACAGAGATTGAGGACCGTGATCCCGACTGAGGCCTTCTGCAAGAAGGGAAACAGCTTGCAGAGAAAGACTCCAAACTCATTCTGCTCGAAAGGCCAGCGCTGAGCTAGGAGCTAAAGAAAGGAGGGACAGTGATTAGAACCACAATGAGTCAAACCTTTAAGACCACTAAGAAGCATGAGGCCAGGTGTGTGTTTGGGGGCCTCTGCAAAGAGCTAGGTGTGTTATACGTGAGCATGACTAACACTGGCAAGCTATTTGTGCTCACTGATCATTCTTTAAAATTTTTTTTTCTCCTTATGTCTCTGCATTCAGTGAAAAGAAAGGAAAGAAGGAAGCAAAAAATAGAGAATTCGTATCATATAACACTTTTTAAAAATATTTTTTAATTTATGGAATAATACAAGCAATTCTCTAACATAGTATAATAAAAAAGATGATTTCACATACAACTGCAACTCTATTAGGGACAACTTGCTATTCCTTTTAAATATATAATAACTTTATTATATAAATTTCTTTTTTTATGACTGAACAAGTTGTGGTATATCATTGTGATGGAATACTACTGTAAAGACTACTAATATAAGAAATTATGAGCTCAATGATCATAGAAAAACATGGAAAGACTTGTATGAAATGATCAAGAGCGAAATGAGCAGAACCAAGAGAACATTGTATACAGTAACAGCAATACTGTTTTAAGAATGACTTTGAGTGAATAAGTCTTTTTGACTGTCATAAATACCCAAATTAACTATAAAGGACATATGAAGAAAGATGCTATTTGCATCCAGAGAAAGAACTGATAGATAACATTTGTACATAAGCATAGTCAAGTAAAAACAAATTCTTGAGATTGGGTGCACTGTTCTTGCCAAAGCAGTCAGTGATGCCTGGAGAACCGTTTATCTGCTGATACACAGCTATGGACACAAGGAGCTGCTATTGGAGAAGGGAAGTACTTGAGTTGTATTGATCCTCTCTGATCCTCTGTCAGCTAAGTAATGACCAGCCTTTCTTCTACTGCTTCAGGGGCGTTAAAGGATGTGGGGTGTGAAGGCACCATTCCTAAACTATCAAAGTTTGTTTCAGCTTCCAATTTCCCTGTTTCTCTCCATAGGCTGAGCTATGTTATCACTACTAGTCCTGGCCGCTTACAATGAGCCTGGATCCTTAACTTTTTGGAAAAAGTCCTTTCTTCCACTAACACAATGTCTTCGTTTCAAACGAAAGGGCTGGCTCCATCCTTTGGACTAGGGTGGGTAGGAAGAGAATAGACAGCAAGAATAGCTGTAACAGCACCTGGATGAGGTACACGTGTTTTCCTAGGAAACTATTTTTAATCAATGGGAATAAAAGTATAGACTGTCCAAGCTTCCCTTACCCCAGATGATACAGGAAAAAGGAACCAGAGGCATAACTAGCAATTCTGGTTTTGGAGCAAATTCAGTTGTAAGGTAGAGGCTTGGAGATCTTGGGAAAAGCTTCAGTCATTCTGGTGTGAGGGTGGTGGAATAGAGAAGGTTGGATCTTGAGAGACCATTGCCTGGGAAACCACTGAATACAGAGGAAATGGGGCGGAGTGGGCCAGGAAGGATTGGAGGCGGGGGTTGGGGGAAGGAATTTAGGGAAGAAGTGTGCCAATGGGAGCTTCTTAAATTTATATTTTGAAAGTTAATTAGTTTATTTGTAAGCAGTATTTTATTATCTCTCCCTTCCAATTCCCTCTCTGAAATAGAACAATACAAGAAAGACATCCCTCCCCCAATTACAACAACCACCCAAACCTCCCTCATAATGACTGTGCAGAGTTGGTCAAAACAAATCCCCACATTGGCCTTGTCCATGTTGCTTCCTAGTTTAAATAACTATTCCTGCTAACTAGGGACTAAACTCAGTTGCTTCTACCTGCTAAAATAATATATGGGCTTTCAGTGTCTCCTAAATTTTGGCACTCTGGAACAAAGCCCGAGAGCTATGCCTTCACTATAGGTCTTGGATGGTCACTGTTCCTTCTTCTGAACATCAGTGGATTTTGTGAATAATGAAAAAAAATAGAGACTTTTGCTCAATATTTTGTTTGGCGACTGTATTAGAACTTACAACATGGAGTAAGAATCACCATGAACATTATTGCAGTGGAAGCAAACTCTTGTTTATGTCTAGTATCTTTAGCAATCAGAAGCAGGTTCTGGTCTTTCTGGTTACCATTTTTTGTTCTGTGAGGTAGGTAGTTTAGGCTATCACTCTGTTAGGCGGGTAAGGAAGAGATGGTGATAATTTCAGCTAAGAAGGCACCATTCACAAGTCATGAGGGTTCATCTCTGCTCAAGATTTCCCTGCTGAACATATTGATTTGTGTTAAACCTCGTCACCATGATCATTAGCAGTGACTCTCTGTGCTTGATCATAAAACAGCCTAGGACCACATGGACTTGGAATAAGAACTTTGTATTTGCTTATTATATGCCTCCAGCATATAATAAGGGCATGGTCAGTCCTGTTTTTGTCTCTGTTTGTGTAGAGCCTAACACATTACCATGCATACAGTAGGTGCTTAGTAAATATTTGTTGAATTGAATCTCAGTATTTTGGAAGTGTCTAATCCATTATATAGTTATTTTTTCTTATCTTTTTTTTTTCCCTACCCAAAGCTCCATCTAACTCTGTTTCGGGAGTTATTTCCTTTATTTTTCCTTTCCTTTCCCTTTCCTTACCCTCACTAGGAGACACTATATTTTTCTACTTCAGATGAGAAAATGGATATAAAGAAATTTGTAAAGTACTATATACATGTCAGCTCTTGTTATTATTACAGCCACAATACCCTAGACACTCAGTCTCTACTCCTCTACAAATGACCTTCAGCTATTTTTCATCCATTCCCCGCCCCCTTCCCACCAACAATTCCCTCCAGTTTAGGTATCTTTGTATTCTGTATCTCACTTCCCCTGTGCCTTAGAGGAAAGAGGAGTTCTATTTCCTGTCCCTTAGAAAACCTTTTTGTAAAGTCCTAATGACCCTTTGCAGACTGGGAGGGACCCTGCTGCATATTTTTTCTTCAGAGGGCATCCAGAGGGATCCAGCCCCATCTCTGGCCTCTTATTTATTTCTTCAACTATAATCTAATTCAATTTCTAGTTCTTCAACTCCTGTGTATGTTCTGAGACTTAAGATGTCCATATAAAACTTCATGACCACAGGGCTTTTTAGGAAATAGGGTACTGGTAATGCCTGCTTTCCATAAAGACTGCAGATAATTAGTGCACTAAGGAGAATCCCTTTCTAATGGCTGGTTGTCAAAGATTTTGACAAGTAGAGACACCTACAAAGCACTTCTCCAGGACTGACTCACATCTTTGCAAAGAAAAGGAAACTCCAAAATTATTTTTGCAGCATGACAGTGCCGTTTTCTTCAAAACAAAACAAAACAAAACAAAACAAAACAAAAACAACCTGAATGGGAATTTCTATTCAAAGACTTCCTTGAATGTAATAAAAAAATGTGTTGGGGATGCAGAGTGAAGAGAGAAGTACAAGAAGAAAAATTTATATTATGACACCAATGTTATAAAATGAACAATACTGGAAGATTTAAGAGCTTGCGCAATGCAATGATCCATCATGACTCTGGAAGAACAGTGATGAAGAATGTTACCATTGTCGTGACAGAAGGGTGACTAATGTGCAGAATGAGATACATCCTTTAAAAAATATCTAATATGGGGATTTGTTTTACTTGACTACATTCATTTGTTACAAGGGTTTTCTTTTTCAGAGCATGGGGGAAGTGAGAGAGAGAAAAAATAAATGCTTGATAATTGAAAAAAATTAAAATGATGTCTTGGAATTATAAATAAAATAATTTCCTTACATAAAACCTTCACTCAGAAGCAACATGGGGTAGTGGATGGTTAGTTGTCCTTAGAGTTAGGTACTTCCTCTGACAAATACTATCTGTGTGACTCTGGGCAAGTCATTTTGTGTCCTAGTTGCTGAGGTAATTTTTTACTGAGCCCATTGGAAGAAAGACTGTCCTTACAACCAATGAAATCGCAGGTACGGTTAAAAAAGGAAAAAAAAACCAAACCAAACCTTCCCTGTAGGTACTCCCTCTGTGGTACAGGCCATAACTTATACGTACATTGTTTCTCATTCTTTGTGACTCTTGTGAGCATAATTACTGGCCTTTCCCTAAGATATATGCATATGCACTGAACTTTATTTCCTAGTCTGTAAAGAAAACCATTATCCATCCACTTGGTTTTTCCTGTATGGTTTGTTACATTGAACTGTCTTGCATAGCTGTGGATCTCATTGAGGAGACTTATAGTATGCATCGCTTCATGCAGTCCAGTGTGATGTCATCCATAGTGGACCATCTCGGAGATACCGCCTTTCATAGAGGATTCCTTTTCCATTTGAATCTTGGGCAAGACATTCTCCATGACAGTGGTAATTCCTTTTGGCCATCATATGTCTCCTTTTTTTACATATAACTTGGTATTAATAATAGAAGATCACTGAACAAAGTTATCTTTGTGTTTATGTCAATGGAGGAATCTTGTAGAATCTTAATATGTGCAAATAAGGATGCTTTTGAGGGTGTATTTCTATATTGAATCAAATGCTTTTGATAATCAACAAACAGATGAAATAGGATATTCCATTTTTTTTTGTACCTTTCAGTTAAGTGGTGTTACTATAAAGATGTGTTCTGCTTTGTTGGGAAAAGTCCATCTGTTTCCTTCTCCTGTTTTCATTGAGGATGTTCCCAATATATGTAAACCATTCTCATAAAGAATTTATAAAGATGAGAAAGTTGGCATGTGAATCAGTAGTTATTGCTAACTTCACCTTTTTGGTTAATAACACACGATATGATTTTCAAAAATAATCATAGGCTTATTGGTTCATAGATTTTGAACTGCAAAGGTTCTTAGAGGTCATTTAGTCTAACCTCCTTAATTTGTAGATAAGGAAAGTGAGGTCCAGAGAGGTTGTGATTTGGCCATTCATTTGAATCAATAATAACAATATTGATACATTTTACTTTCTCCAGTAATAATATAAACTTGTCTTTTTTTGGGACAAGGAACTTACACATTGA